TAATGGTAAAGAATGACATTGTTTTCATTTAGTTGTAATAAAATTACTATCAAAACAAAACCTAGTCTTCTGGCTCTAAGTACTATAGAAATTATAACATCTTTGATAGTGTAAAGAAATATATGAATTTTTTGACTGCTCTATGTTTAAATCTAAACATAGTAATGTGAAAAAAGCATACAACTGAACATACAATCTTTCATTCCATTTATTGTTTTACACAGTACTAACTAAATACACAATGCATTGAGATTTTTAGGATTTAGTATGTAAAAAACAAATCCTAACAGGAAAACAGGATTATGAAATTTCAACTTGTGTCAGCTAATTTTAATAATCAGTGGTTGACATACCTTACAAATCTATCTTAAGTAAATCAATTTTGCTCAGATCACAGAAACACAGTTAAGATGGCTAATTAAATATTCATGCATACAGGGACATATGTACCCCAATGTTTATAGCAGCATTATCAACAATAGCCAAAGTATGGAAAGAGCCCAAATGTCCATCGATGGATGAATGGATAAAGAAGATGTGGTTATACATACATACATATATATACATACATACACACACACACGTTATATGTGGTTATACACACACACACATATACACACATATAATGGATTATTACTCAGCAATCAAAAAGAATGGAATCTTGCCATCTGTAACTAGGTGGATGGAACTGGAGGGTATTATGCTAAGTGAAATTAGAGAAAGACAAATATCATATGACTTCACTATATGAGGACTTTAAGAGACAAAACAGATGAACATAAGGGAAGGGAAACAAAAATAATATAAAAACAGGGAGGGGGACAAAACATGAGACTCTTAATTATGGAGAACAAACAGAGGGTTACTGGAGGGGGTGTGGGAGGGGGAATGGGTTAAGGGGCATTAAAGAATCTACTCCTGAAGTCATTGTTGCACTATATGTATGCTAACTGATTTGGATATAAATTTAAAAAATTAAATAAAATTAAAAAATATATATTCATGCATACAGAGTAAGGCCTTCAATATGTACAATAGCCATGTGAACTGTCTCTATTGTTGACTGTTATTTTCTATTAAGAGTCTTCCAGAAGACCATCAACATAATTGATGTTTATTTAAAACACTGACAACTACTTAAAAATGGCAACTTTTTTGTTTTAATTTTTTATTAAAGTATAATAAGCAGAGTTATACAGCTAGATGAATTTTTATATATGTATACAACACCCATGTAATCATCACCTAGATCAAAATATAGAGTACTTCCAGCACTCCAAAAAGCCTTCTCATGCAACTCCCTTTCACAACCCTCATCTACCCCCACCACTGTCCTAATTTCTATCATAGTTTTGGCTTATCTTAAATTTTATAAAAAGCTATACAGTACAGGGGCGCCTGGGTGGCGCAGTTGGTTAAGCGTCCGACTTCAGCCAGGTCACAATCTGCATGATTCCGTGAGTTGAGCCTTGTCCGGACTCTGGGCTGATGGCTCTCCAGAGCCTGGAGCTCTGCTTTCGATTCTGTGTCTCCTCTCTGCCCTCCCCGTTCATGCTCTGTCTCTCTCTGTCCCAAAAATAAATAAAAACGTTGAAAAAAAAAAAAGCTATACAGTACATGCTCTTTTACGTCTGGCTTTTGTCACTCAACATGCCTGTGAGAATAATCCATGTTATTTGTGTGTCTATATATATATATATATATATATATATATATATATATATATGATATCATTATGGTATTGTGTGATTAAAAAAGTGCTATAAATATTCTTGATACAAAGTCTTTTGGTACATGCACTTTATTCCTCTTGGATATAGACCTAGGGTGGTTTATAGTGCCATATCAAAGGTGCTTGTTTAGCTTTTCGGTAGATACTGTTGGTTGAGGTTGAACCATATGCCTACCACATCAATGCAAGAAGACATTTATAAGGTGGTGTAGTAGACCATTGTAATTTTAATCTGACTGCCATCCTGATGACCTATAACACTGGGCTGCTTATCAGTCATCTAAATACTCTCTTAATGCCTGTTTATGGCTTTTGGCATAGGAGCAGTTTCAATTGAGGTGTGGTATGTGTAGTTATTTTCTTCTATCCCCTATATTCAGAATAGGTGTCAGTGGAAAAACACCGAGAAATAGTTTCTTCATACAACACACTGTATAGTTAAGAAATAAACCATACTAACATTAAGTTGTTAAATATTAAAGGTAAATCGCCATCCATATATACTAATAAAAGACCAAGACTAACAAACTGTCTTCTAGCACACCTATCCCAAATTATTCAATGTTTACTCTATTTTTCTGAAGATTACTGTCTTGTAGTTTTCTTTACCAAATTCCAGCTCTGAAGCCTAAACATGAATATCCACTGACTGCCATTACCCTCAATAAATGGGAAGGGTAGGTAGTATTATCCATGTATATCCAATCTCACCTATTTTATCTGATATTATTTTTTAACATTTCAATTATATAGATATGAAATGAGACTAAATTTAGCTACTTCACACCTGCCTAAGGAAATGAGAATAGTTGACACAAAGTGTTTCAGTACAAAAGTTCAAGTTCTCTCTCTACACATTCACCATCTTCTTTCAACTATCTATAGGGAGATAATCAGATGTGGTAGTACTGCTGGCTTAACTCTGAGCAAAAAGGGAAGTCGGTGGAAAATTTCAGTCTAGAGCTTTATTTGTTTTTAAAAAGGGGGGCGGGGGGAACAGGGAGGAGAGTGTATCATTCTAGCTGCTGAGAATTGCTGAGTAGGGCAAAGTTACAAACAGGGGGGCAGGCTACTGTAATCATCCAGGAAAGAGGTAATGTGATGTGGGCCAGGTAGTTAGTAGCAGTGCAACTGCTTGTAAGACTTTGGTGGTTTCACCAACAAAATTTGCAAACAGGGTATACAGGGTACCAGAGAAACAAGAACCAAGGATCATGAGGAGGTTTTGGCCAGAGCAAATGCAAGGATGTAGCTGTTAATAACTTAGATGGGGTGAAGCAGGTTTTGGGTTAGGGGATTATCAGTTCAGTTTTCAACATGTTTACGTTTGAGATGTCTACTATATACATAGTCAAGTAAAGACGTTAAGCAGGTAGCAGGATATGAGCCTGGAGTTCAAGAAAGATAAATTTATGAGTTGCTGGTATTTAAAAAGTGAAGTTATAAAATCAGATGAGCATACCAAGAAAGTGAGTATAGATGAAGAGGAGCATAGGTAAAGACTTAGCTTTCAAGTACTGTCATGTGCAAAGCTCCAGGAGAAAAGGGAGAAACTAGTTAAGGAGTCAAGGAGTCTGGGAGTGGACATAGGAAAGGGGAAAACAGAAGACCTAATATCCCAGAAACCAAGTGAATAAAAAGTACAATGTCTGCAAATATTCCTTAGTACCACTGAATGATTGAGCTATTATAAGGGGCCTTTCAGATAACTTTATGGATAAAAATACTGAGTCCTATAAATTGCAAAAAGCTACAAATTAAAAGAAGGACAGATTAGGTCTATTCTGCACTACTCAATGTTTAACAGTATGGAATATATATCAAGAAACTAGATCCCAAGAGATGATCTGAGGGAGGCGGCTTTACCCAGATGTGCTATTAGAATAGAAAAACAAGGGGCACCTGGGTGGCTCAGTCAGTTAAGCATCTGACTTCGGCTCAGGTCATGATCTCACCATTCATGGGTTCAAGCCCCACATCAGTCTCTGTGCTCACAGCACAGAGCCTGGAGCCTGCTTCGAATTCTGTGTTTCCCTGTCTCTTTACCCCTCCCCCACTCATGGTGTGTCTGTCTGTTCGTCTCTCTCAAAAATAAACAAATATTGAAAAAAAAAAAAAGAGTAGAAAAACAAAACCAAACCAACAACTCGTCTGTTTATCCAGTTACTAAATAAACCAAATCATCCAAACACTAAATGTTGTCATTCCTGTTTCATCCTGTTCAGGTTCTATTCTTTCCATTTCTTAACAAATCAAACACATAACTTATTACTGTTTTCTCCCACTCCAATGTCTTTTTTTTTTTTTTTAATTTTTTTTAACGTTTATTTATTTTTGAGACAGAGAGAGACAGAGCATGAACAGGGGAGGGGCAGAGAGAGAGGGAGACACAGAATCGGAAGGAGGCTCCAGGCTCTGAGCCATCAGCCCAGAGCCTGACGCGGGGCTTGAACTCACGGACCGTGAGATCGTGACCTGAGCCGAAGTCGGACGCTTAACCGACTGAGCCACCCAGGCGCCCCTCCAATGTCTTTTTATACTTGTTTTAGTTTTTTCCATCCATGTTGTTAGACTATGCCAGGATCTACTCTAAGAAAATTACATAAACCAATTCATGTAATACTTTTAACAGCCTTATGAAGCAGGTGTTAACCCTATTTGTGAGATGAGGAAACTAAGGCACAAAAGCTAGGTAATTTGCTCAGGACCACAGTTCAGTAAATGGCAGAGCTAGGTTTGAATTTAAAGGGTAAGAACACTGTGCTAAAATCAGATCAGACAAAGCATGTGAAAGCAGTATAAAGTGCCATACAAATGAAGATATCACCTATAAAGGCACTCCCTTTCTTCAAATCTGAGAACCTTAACTCTGTCCAATTAACACAACTTTCAATATTTTTGTTGCCTATATTACATCCAAGTCAGAGCTGATTACTTCAATATTTATGTATGTTAGTCTTTCACAAACATCTTTCAGAGATAGCAAGAACTAAATTTACCAAAATAAATGAAATCAAAGCTTTTCAAGATGTAAGAGCTAGTATCTAACGTTACCTAATAAGTCACTATTTAAATAATGATTGTGATCTCAAATCTACCACATTTTTGATTATGCACTTAAGAGACTTCATAAAGTTTCAAAATTACAGCCCAAATAGGAGAAAGTATAATATATGCTTATGTTCTGAGGCAATTACACAGGTAACACTCTAAATATAGTTTGGAATTCATATGAGAGAGGGGAGAAGGTGAATTCAAAATCTCTTACCATTGATCTTTCAGGATATCCAAACAAATAGCCCCTGTGACGGAACTAATATTAGGATGCCATATTTTAGTGATAAACCGGACCTAGAATATAAAGCACACTTGAGTTTTTAAGTAACAGAAATAAAACACATATAGTTCAAATAGAACTACAGGAAAATGAAATCTTCATATTAAAAAAAAATGTCCATACTTACATTACCATCATTTTGCCTACCTGAAGGGAGGGGTGTGGAAGACAAAGCATTCAGTAAGCTGAATGTTGTCACTGACATACATTATTTTTAAACCTTTTAATAAATGTTCTGCCTCTAAAGAAACCCAACAATTATTAGGTGTTTATAATTTACCTAGCATAATATTCCATGCTATAATAACTACAACATAGACTAAAATCCACTTAGGTAGATGAAGTAATATAAAATCAAAATTAATACAGATAGTAAATGGCAATTTATTTAGTGTCAAGTAGGATGCAGAAGAGGTGTGAAGGACAAAGTAAGTAAAATCAGCGCTTGGAAGCATTTAAGTAGTAAGTAGCTGTAAGATGGCTTCTAATATTTTGCAACATTTTTTTCCCTCAATTTCTTTTTAAAAAAATAATTCAACAAACATTTGGAAGATACTGGCACTGAGGAGACACTAAGGCTTAGTGTTTAACAGATTTATCCAGGGGATGCCTGGATGGCTCAGTCTGTTGAGCATCTGACTTTGTCTCAGGTCTGATCTTACCATTCGTGAGTTCAAGCCCTATGCTGGGCTCTGTGCTGACAGCTCAGAGCCTGGAGCCCACTTCAGATTCTGTGTCTCCCTCTCTCTCTGAGCCTCCCCCACTCGCACTCTCTCTCTCAAAAATAAACATTAAAAATTTTTTAAAATAAAATGAAAAAAAAAAAAAAAAA